TTTTTTTTTTGTAAATCAAGTAGTGCTACAGTAATCCAGTGCCTAATGGAGCAGATGGTGGAGGTCTTAGACTCTGGAACATTTATAGTGATGTTTCTGAATGCAAAACACCAAGAGTGGATTTCACAGGCTGTGAATCTGATTTGATTTTGATGGGAATAAAATCTCCATTTTCTCTGAACTTGAACCACACTGAAAGAATGTGTGAATGATACAAGCCAGCTAAGAAAAAGGAACATATTAAATATTATTCCCAAAAAGTGAAGTAGTTAAAGTGAGTACTTGTTTGTGTCATTATAGCATATTAATAATACTTGTACTTAATAACCACCATCTTGAAACCTTATATAAGATTTCATTAGAATAGCTTAAAGTAAGTTAAAATTGATGATTAGAGAAAACAGATATAAATTTGTCTAAAGGCAATAAGCTTTAGTTTCGTTGTTTTGTTTTTAGAAATGGCTGAGGGCCAGGCTGAAATGTGGACCTAGTTAGCATGTCCATAACATCTCTTCTTCTCAGGTATGTGGGTCTAAGCCATGAGGGGTCAGTGTGTGTGGCTAGAGCTAGTCTATGTGCAGCTCAAGGCACCCAGAAATTATGCCAGACTGTACTCTCTGATGCTTCCTCCTTCTCCAAGACCCAAAGTTCATCACAGATCACAGCAGGGGTGAAGAGGGAGGATGGACAATGAGTCAGAGTGGCTCCCAAATAAACTGAGGTTATTTATTATTCCATTTTATACAGCAATTCATTTCTTACTTTAGCTTCTTTTTCAGGTGAATATAAGCTCTATATTAAAGTATCATACTATTTTCTCCCTAAAAATCAACAGTTCTGTCTAATGAAAATATGTGCTAGCCAAAAATGTGATGGGAAGGTAGGGCAGAATGCTACTTGTCTCCCAGTATCTATTCTCTGCGTCTTCCACATTTTTCCTGGGCACATGGCGACCCACAATAAAGTTTATATTTCCTAGTCTCTCTCACAGGGGTGACCATATCATTAAGTTCTGGCCAATAGAATGTAAGCAGAAGGATTTCAAATAACTTCTGAGAAATGTCTTTAAAGTGGTGACACTATATAATTTATCATCCAAATTGGGGCACTTGAGAGTAAAAGGGGTAATTAAGATTTTGTACTTTCTGAAACTTACATTTTAACTAACAATTGATTTATTACATTGGGGGACTTTTAAACTACTTTTATTGAAAGATTATTTTCAAAAGTAAAATTTCAAAAGAAATAAAAATAACACATATCCATGTATATTAAAATTCAAAAGAACTTCTTTATGTTGATTATCTGAATAGTAAAAAATAGCCAATAAAATAAATATTCTTGGAACATATTCACATACTTTAATTTGTTTCTTAGCCATATCTGTCTCTAATATTGTGTCACTGGCATTTTTCTGAAGAATGTGTTTTCAGAAATATGGTATTTAAAAATAAAACTACCAGCAATATTCTTCACATTTGCATGATTAATTAATTTGAAATTACTGATATTTTCAATTGATTTTTATTGGTAGACCATAATATTTTTAATCGAGAAAAATGCTCTTTCTACAGATTCTGAGTTGCTTGGTAAGCTCAGAGCAAATTTGCTAAATGGAAGAAATACTCAATTCTAATTATTTTCATATTGAAAAACATAACCATCCTAGTCCAAATATTTTCAAGGTACTGTCTTTTTACTTCCTTCAGAATGCCCTTCTTTGACAAATATTTTTACAAGACAAAATTTGTCAAATAAATTGATTTTATGATTCTTTCGAATGTTTTACCAAAATTAAATACTGCAGTATCTGGGCCTTTTCAATTTTATTTCATTTGTGTATGTGTATAATGTATTCAAAATAGGAACATCACCAAAATATTCTTCCTGCAAGGTGAGATATTCCAAATCACAATTACAGAATTGCAAATTTTAATCTTGTAGAGCATTTCAGTTCTTACTATTTATTTTGTTCAATTCCTAATCTTTGCTTCTGTAGAGAAAAATTCCAGGGGAAGGTTTATTTTCATTAACTGCAATTCTCTAAAAGCTTCATTTGGTGTTTCATTTGTTAAATACTTGATTTAATATTTCCAACTGATTTTGAACAAAATGTCACCAAAATTTTGATGACCTGTTTGTAACAAAGTTCAATACCACTATTAGGCATAAAGACTTCTAAAATCTGACTAATGAGAGGCACCAAAGAGAGAACCCATATAGTGTGTTGCTGAAGTATAGCTTTGTATTCAACACAGCTGTATCCCCCAATCTTGTAGTCCACAGCCTCTGACTATAAAAAGATTATTCTGTAAATTTTTATAACAATAGTTTTTATTTCAATTAGTAGAATGTTGATATCTGTTTTGATGCAATTATGAATTATGGGTATGCCTCAACCAATTCCAACTACACCATAGGTTTCTCAATGTAATAAGATGATCGTTTTTATCCTAACACCATGTATGCTTTACCTAAATTTGTACTTGTATTATTATTATAAACTAATAATTTTATCTTCCATGTTGAACTTTTAAACTGATTTTCCAGTCTCACTCATGACTCTACCTTTGATAGAATGTACTTCCAAAAGCTTTACCTTAATTCCATGAATGGATGGAAAAACAAAGCATTTTTAGAATTGACTAAAATGATTTAATTACATGAAATATCTGATGGCAATCAACTGAAATTGGAATTATTTAACTGTTTACAAAGTTCTTCTTCTGTCACTGGAGCCAACAAACATAAAGCTATTGCTTATAGTTGAATATTAGTGAAATTAATTTAGAAGAATAGTTATTTACCTAAATAAAATTTAGGCTTCACAGAGTTGCATGTATATATACTTTCTTCAGCTGCATGTGTTAAATCATCATCTTCAGGAAGTCTCCTTAAAGTAACTACTAACTTTGTAACTAGATCCTGACATTTTTTCAGCAGATTTGACTCTTCTTGTTTTCATGTGGTCAGTGATACCACATGAAAGGAGGCCATAGTGGATAGTAAATGTCAACAAACATTTTATGCAAGTTACACATGCCTTATCAACTTGCCTGAGAAATAAAAATCCAGTACTTTTTAAACATAAAATGTATACTTTTTTTTAAGCTTACTGCTGCCAAAAGGTTTACTGCAAAAACAAAGTACTGCCGAACAATAAAATAGTTACCAGTTTACATCATACAAGCAAGTGTATTTAGTCTACATTTTACTCAGTTTATACACAACTGATCAGCCTTGAATTCCCACATGTCTATTTCAAAGACACTGGACCTCTAACTTACTGTATTTCCCACTGAGCTTTTGGACTGGTATCTGGTAGTTTTGTGACTCTTGAAGGCAAGACACGGGCCATACAGTTGGGGGATACACCAAGTGGCCAGCTGGGGCAGCAGTGTCAAATACTTCTAACACCTGAAACAGGAAGGAGTTAACTGTCCCTAGACAAGCAGTATACTTTGTCATATCAACAACTGCCCTGCATGCTGTCCTTGATTGGGAGGTGTATGAGACAGCTGAGAGAAGAAATGAGTTTTTGCTAGTTGTCTTTCAGATATAATAACACCTTAATATGAGAACTCTCCCTATTGTACATGGGCCTCATAGATTACCAGCCTATGCTAGACAAAAACTGAGGCAGAGGCTGGAAATAGAAAGCAGAGGTCTATCAAATCCATGCTGGCTTATTCTAATGTAATTACTAGTAATCATTCTCTGTTAAAAACGAAAAATCCAGGACAGATGCTAAGTCAGATGGGATTCTGGGACAGCAGACTTACACTGAGACTGTCCTTGGTGATCAGAATGTACACTTACTTGACATTCAAGGGAGGAGATCTGCCCTTCTTTGCCCTTCCCCTTCCTTCCTTCCCACTGATTGGAGTGAAGACATGATGGCAACTACCTTGGGCCATAAAGTGGTAAGAGAGGAATGGCAGGGCAGTAAGACAGAAGCAGCCTGGGTTCCTGACTTTAGAATCACCATATCAACCTTGGACTGCCTACTCCTGAATAGTAAAAATATGTGAAAAGTAAGAAAAAATAAACTCATATCTTGTTTTGGCCACTGTTATTTTATAGTCAAACCTAATCCTAACTGATATATAAGGACTACTTCTATAATCTTTCTGGAAAGCAGCTTGGCAGTATGTAGCAAGAATTCTAAAACTGTTTAAACTCTTTGAACCACTTCTAGATACTTGTCTTAAAGAAATCATCTGAAATGAGGAAAAACTGATGTATAAAGATGTTTACTACAGACCTATTTATGATACTAAAAAATTAGAAACAACCTAAATGTACAAAAATAAGGAACTTGTTATACAATATTACATCTAAATAGCTGAGTATTGTGCAAACATTAAAAAGTTTATGAAAAATGTTAATACATGAGAAAATGCCCACATCATATACGCAATGGGAGAAAATAGGCAGGATCTTTTTTAAAAAACCTTGTACATGTCCTAAGTTCCCACTTACATTACCCCAAAACCCACATATATAAAGGTATGCATAAACAAACAAAAAATACTGAAAGGAAATACATGAAAATATTAACCAACAGTGATTCTCTCTGGATAGTGAGATTATAGGTAATATTTATTTATATCTTCGTTGTATTGAATATTTAATACTTCTCATAATTATCCAAGAATTCCACGTATAATCAGCAAAAAATAGAAATTAATTTCAAAACTCTTTCCTAGCATTTACCAGCTTTATCTGGTGTTGACACTGCCGTTATCATCATTATCATCATCACAATTTTACCGGGCATCTATGTGTGAGGAGCTGGGGCATCAGGGTGTCCAGATCTCTGGGGCTCCTATAGTCAACCAGGAGACACCTACAGGCTATCCAGACACAAGCAGACCCTGCCCAGTTTTACCTTGGTGTTCTGTAGCAGAGCTAGTCCATTGCAGGCATTTGCTAGAAGAAAGTCTCCACTCAGGATAGCTATTTTATTTCCAAATTGCATGTCTTTCAGTGGCCCATCAGTAGACTGTAATTCATTTAAATTTACTATCCCACGATGTACAAGGAGAGCAGTATGGATAAGTTCTGTGATCTCTGCCAAACTTCTTTGACTAAAACATAAAGGTAAGACTTGTCTGAGTGTAAAGAATACCTTCTTCTCACTAATGTCAGACTTCAGTTTTCAACAATAAAATATTTCATATATTAGTCCCTCTTTTTTAAATTATTGTTTTTTAATGAAGTTTTTTCTCCTGGGATATAATTGATATATAACAGTAATCAGCTTTCAGGTGTACAATATAATGATTCAGTATTCGTACATAAATTTGACCCTTAAACAACACCAGTTTGAACTGTGCGAGTCCACTTACACGAAAATTTTTCCAGTAAATACTAAAGTAGTACACAGTCCAAGGCTGCTTGAACCTGCAGATGTGGAACGATGGATATGGAGGATAGTCTACGAGCCTCGAGTATCCACAGATTTCGGTAGCTGAGGTGGGTCCTGGAACCAGTCCCCTACAGATACCAACGGAGGACTGTATTGTGAAATGATCACCACAGTAAGCCTAGTGAACATCTGTCACCACACAGAGTTACAACATTGTTTTTCTTGTGATGAGAACTTTTAAGATCTACTCTCTTAGCAATTTTCAAATATATAATAAAGTATTATTAACCATAGTCATCATTCATACATTAAATCCCCTGTACATTACATCTTCATGGCTTTTTTTTTCTATAACTGGAAGTTTGTACCTTTTGATCACTTTCATCCATTTTTGTCTACCTCCCTCCCTCCACCCCTAGGAAATACCAATCTGTTCTCTGTATCTATGAGTTCAGTTTTTGTTTTTTAGATTCCACATATAAGTGAAATCAGACAGTATTTGTCTTTCTCTGACCTATTACACTTCACATTTTGAAGTTCTGTGGGTTTTTTTTGAAGGTTTCAAATGTACTTTATTTCTTCAATTATGCCATATTTTAATGGGTATACAGTGCTTTTACTTGGCATCAACTATGAGTTGATTTTGAAGCAATTCAGTATTGTACCAGCTGGATGATTACTGATCTCTCCATTTTTGGGAGGTAACTCTGCCAACAGGGGACAGGTTCCATTGTATCCTAATTTGTGTTGCTGCATATGCCCATATAGCAACACAGAAAGTGGCTCCACTGTCATGATCATATTTGTCATGGAAATCATGTGTACATATCTGATGTCTCTCCCTTGCAACTGTTAGCTGAACGCTTCAAACTTAGGGAAGCATCAAGAAGCTGAAGACAGAAGTCTGGAAACTGCAGCTGCTGGTTTGATGCAAGTACCCTTGCAAAGGGACTTGAATGAAGTTTTTGTTTGTTCTGTTTTTAATTGAAGCATAGTTGATTTATGATGTGTTAGTTAATGCTGTACAGCATAGTGTTTCAGTTATACATATATATACTTTTTCCTATACTTTTTCATTATAGGTTATTACAAGATATTGAATGTCCATCAACAGATGATTGGATAAAGATGTGGTATATATATACACAATGAAATACTACTCAGCCATAACAAAGAATGAAATAATTCCATTTGCAGCAACATGGATGGACCTAGAGATTAACATACTAAGTGAAGTCAAAGAAAGACAAATAATATATCACTTATATGTGGAACCTAAAAAAAAATACAAATGAACTTATTTACAAAACAGAAAGGGACTCATAGAAAACAATCTTATTGTTACCAGAGGGGAAAGAAGGGAGAGGGATAAATTAGGGGTTTGAATGAAGTTTTAACAGAGGTCTTTCCACTGAGTAGTCTGGGATCTATAAGCAGATCTTGAAGCCTTCCTTCTCTCCACCATTCCCCACAGTCTCCCCGGCCAGCCGCCAGGAATCCCCACACTCTACTTCACCAGCCAGTCACCAGGATTCCCCAGAGAGAGACTGACCAGTGAAGGGCCAACCTCCACAGATCCATTTAGATACTTTGTTCTCAGGATAAGTTTGTTCTCCATAACTTTAGGATTTCTGAAAATTCTTACTAGTATCTAATAGAACTCTAATTTAAATGGGAATACAATCTGTGCCAGACATTAGGCTAAGCACTTTTATGTATTATCTCTTTAAGTCCCAAATGCAAAGCTATGGAATTTACAGAGATGAATAAAATGTGGTCTCTTCCTTCAAGGACCTTACCTTTCAGAACAAGAATCAAGATACATACCTAGAGTAGTAATTAAGATAGAGAAGGCCCGAGTTTATAGTATAGTACTGTATCAGATTGGGGTTTCAAGAGATGTTTGCTTTCTTTTTTATACTTTTCTATAGTTTGTACATTTTCTACAATGACATTTACTTTTATAATCATAAAAATCAACAATTACTAAAAAATTTAAACCTCATAACCACCCTATGATAGTTATTGTTAATCTCTTTTTATAGGTAAGATATTGTTGTGCACAGTTAAATGACTTGCCCAAAACCACACAGTAATGCAGAGCTGGAAATCTGCTGGAATCTGTTACGAACGGCCCCATGTGAATCATGCCTCTTTGTTTCCATGCTCCTGTGCAGTCCCCTCCACACTAACTCTGGGCTTGTCCATGAGACTTACTTTGGCCAAAAAGACATTCATGAACATGACACAAGCAAAGCCTGATAAGTGCTTATGCATTAAGGCTTTTTGAATGCAGTCATGCAAGTGACCACAGGCAGAAGAACCATTCAGCATCTCAAGTCACTAACTAAATCTTAGGGCAGTTTGCTATGTAGCAATAGATATCTGATATAGAAACTGGTATATGTAGGTGTGGGTGCTGTTGCAACAAAAGCCTAAAATGTGTGTCAATGGCTTTGAGTCTGAATGTTTGAGGCTAGAGGTAAAGGCTGAAGAAATGGAAACCTTTTAGTGGAATCCAGAAAGGCAGAAAGGAAATTGTTATTGGAGGATTAAGAACGGACATACTGTGTTATAAAGTAGTGAAACAACTTGCAAAACTTTTGCCTGTGGTTAACTTGAGAGATACAAATTATCTCTAATAAAATCCGAAAAAAGTAGGTAGTAAAAGTAGAGAGATCAGTGGAGGAAGTTTTTTAAACAAAGGTCCAGGGGAAATGTAACAAAAGGATTCGACCTAAAGGTCAAATTTAAGCATCTGACCTAGAACAACAGCCTTAGACAAGGAGGCAAATATAAAATGATCAAGTAATAAATGTAAAAGTCTCCTCTCTCAAAAAAAAATGTAATACTAGTTTAACAACGATAGTACGTTAATTACATAAAGATGCAATAAAATAAAGGTGACAAACAACTTGGCCTCTACAAAGGAAAAATCACATTTATAATTTATTCTCTTTGTTAAAAAAAAAGTAAAAGAATATGTAAAAATGACCCAGTGTACACTGGTACTTGACTACAAATTGGCAGAGTAGAAGATGAACCAGTGAGTTAAACAGCTTCTGAGAAGAGTAAATTCATGGTTTATATTAAAACCTCAGTACATCCCAAAGAAAATCACTGGGCACAGAGGCTTATAAGACTATTGAGAAGTTAATAAAAAAACATTAAAAAAAAAAAGAGGAGCTAACATTTAAAATATCCTTTAAAAATGTGAGTAAAAGAAAGGAATAAAAATATATTTTATTAGTGCCCTGCAAATGTATTCTACTTTAAAAAAATGTTTACTGTAAAAATGTATATTGTTACATTTCACAAAAATTACATAATGAAATTATTAACAAGTATAAAACTCAAAAAAGGTTAAGCACTAGATAAATCTCTCACGCAGTTCGGCTTACAGAAGAAAGTAATAACCAGGCAAGCAGAAGTCATAGGTGTTTTGAATTATCCTAAGGATGAAAATGAATGATTGGGAGCTTTTAATAAAGACATCTGTAATCATAAAACTGCATTCATTAAACAAATAGCAATCTTTAAACACCACATGGCCAGAAACAATAAAAACAATGGTAATAATAAAAGTGAAAAACCATAATTTGTACAGTACCCACAACTTACAAAGAATTTTCATTTATATTATCTACTTGTGATTCTAATTATAGCAGGTCTGGGGGAGGTTAAATATCTGGTTGGAACATTCAGTTTATCAAGGACAAAGCTGGAACTCAGAGCCTGTCATAGTGACCAATGATAATTTAAAATGTTTATTTACCTAATGAATAGTAAATGCGGGGAGGGGAGAGCCAAACTTACCAGTGTTACCAAGACTGGTATAAGCCTACCACAAACGTGTCGAATTTTCATCCCTAGTTCTAAACACTACAGAAGAGAATTTTGCTAGGACAAAGTATATTATGACTAGACTTGACTCTGTTCATAGTAGCTAAAAAAAGTAATCAAGTTGTTTCCAAATCATTTGGTTAGAACCAAAATCAAGTGATTAGCTCAGTCAGGAATCTGGGTAACAGTTCTCTCTGCCTGTAACAGACAGTTCATGGGCAAATCCCTGAAACTCTGAGACACCTGGTCTTCTCATCACTGAAAGGGGAACTAGAGAAAGTCTGTTCCAGTTCTAAGATTCAGGGATTTCAGTCCTAAAATTTAAGATTTAGTTCCAAAATTATAAGATTTGGGATTAAAAAAAATTACCTAGACTGGTAGTTAATAGTTAAAGTGAGACAAAATTATCGCTATTATTAGTACCTACTTTTCTATAAGAAATAGAAATAAACTGGTCATCTTGAAATCTGTTCTGCAATTCTACTATCTAGTATTGTGCTCTCTACTTCTAAGATTTTATCATTAGATAAATAACTCCAGACCACATTATGTAAGAGTTAATTTAGTATAAAGCAGAGAAGCAGTGACAGGATGAAAGAATCTCGGAACTTTTTCTTCTCATTATCTTATTCCTATTTTAGCCACTCAAAACAAGCTAGTAAACTTTCAGTGTGCTGGATTTTAGAAATTACCTTATATAAAAGTCTTCATGCTATTTATGTACATATATTTTAGTACTCAGGTATTTTTTATGCTAAATCTTGATTGGAAAAGAGTCACAAATGAATGCTGCTTATGTTAAGTAATCAGAGTAAGGAAGTAATTACCACATTGAATGTAACCCTGAGGATTAATGATGTCTTTACAAGAATTTTC